CATGTCCCTACCTACAAGATGGCAAAAAGTTATCGAACAAAATGGTACCGACATACTTTAGTTAAATGTGAATAAATTATATTAAAAAATGTTGTGAATTTTCTTAAAAAATGCGAAGGAACTTTTTCCCCAATCTATTATTATATAGAAATAAAATAGTAAACAATGTTTACAATAAGTGAGCTGTTTAGGCTTACTATACTATTTGACATTGGACGGTAATGGGTAAATTGTAAAAAATAATAATCTAAGACAAGTTTTTGAACAATAATTATATACGCATTTCCATTTTATATAAAAATTATGATTCTTACATCAGTAATTTTTTATAACATGCTAGGAAAATGCTTTAAAATGCCCTTATGTTAAAAACAAGAAAGAAAGTAAAGAAAACCTCAATTTGTGTTAGTTTACGTATGTGTAATATTTTAAAACTCTGCATGGTAGTTTTTTTTTTCTAATGTTTAAAATAATTTCTGGCGCAATGTAATTAAGGTAAAATTGCTCTAATTTTTTAACTATCATCGATCATGTTCCGCATATCTTGTTACAACTTGATTGCGTACGGTGTGTGGGCTACCCTACGAAATCTATGTTAATTATTTTAAGTTTTTATAACATCATACAGGGTAGAAATATAAACTAATTATTCGTTATTGTGTAGTAAGTGAGTTTTAGATTTAGTAAAATTTAAAATACTATAAAGTAAATGAAATTACAAATTTTACAGCGCCCCCCTAACCCACATCAACGCCCCCCATTTTTTCCTGGACCCCTTAACGCCCCCCTCTAGGTTTCAAACGCCCCCCAGGGGGCGTTATCGCCCACTTTGAGAAAGACTGTTATAAAGGATCCAATAAAACAATACCAATATAAATATGTCCGTTTATTATTATAAATTCAAATACACATTTAAAATCAATAAATGCATGAGACACGCTAGCCAAAATAATTTCTTAATTATAATTTTTTTCTTCTTCAAATATGGCAGCAGTTATTTTTTATTCAATTACACTTTCGTCACCGAAATCTTAATAACTAAACGCTTAATAATAATACGTCTTTTTATTACAAAATATACAATAAGAAATCCTTTAAAATAGTTACAAATATGGCATTAGAGATAAACACACAAAATTGGATAGTGATCACATTTTTTTTATGGCAGATAAGAAAAATGTATAGATACAATTTTTTTGGGCGGGAATAAATCACATTTGTTCGATATCAAATAATCGATGCCGGATTGCTAGTGCCCATGGGCAACAGTGACTACATCGCACCTTTAGTGTTGAAGTGGCTTAAACCCAAATTCTTTTTTTTAAGCCTATGCTGATTCCTTGAGATGCTATTTCAGCTTCACCTTAACGTGTAGGTGAGCTCACGGAGCTCAAACCGGAGTGTTGCTAACACTGGCCCTAGCAAGAGAAGTGCTTCGCAGAATCTACCACCGGATCGGAAACGCGACCCACTGAGAAGATCCGGCGAGAAACTCAGTGGGCTCCCAAGCTCTTATTTTTTGGTAAACGCCAAAAATTTTATTGAAGAATTATAACTTCTTAATTATTTTTTTTCGATTTCAACACTTTAATTTGAAAGCAAAGGAAAAAGTACGTGTCCTCTTTCCACACTAAAAGAATATGTTTAAATTTAATAAAACTAGTAGAATACATGTTTATAAGTAGTCTAGTCAACAAGTTCAAAAACGTGAAAAATAGAGATAAAGGTCCTAAAAATATGAGCGATGGCTCATTCGATTCGGAATCATCTCTAGAAAAATGTTTTTGAAGGATTTTGGTGCAGGTTAAAAATTGCAATTGTTATTAACAAAATAAGATGAAAAAAAAATGATATTTCTTTTTTTGTTAATAACTTGAAAAATATTAACATTGAAGCAATTTTGAAAAAAGCTCGTTAAAGAGGAGGAAATTTCCAATAAAAAAGCTAACAGGCATAGCTAAATATTAATTGAAAAAAAATTTTTTATCAACATTTTTTAGATTTTTAATTTCAATTTAATGAAAATTAACCGCAGGATCTTATAAAGTACATATATCAAAAGGGCTCCACGAAATTTAAAATTATTGTAATAATTTAATCTTGGGGTAAAATAGATATTCCTTCTATTAAGTCAAAACTAGAGCTGTTGGCAGGTCTTGGTTCAGTTGAAGCGAAGCTGGTGTTTGTATTTTTTTTTTCGTTATCATAATCTTGACCATCATCATCACTGTTTTTATCACCCGAGTTGCTATCATCATGATGAGTCGACATAGGGATCATCGGTGTAGTTTACAACTCGGTCGGTTCGGTCTACTTTTTTGTCTATAATTAATTATTTTTTGAAGATATTCGATTCGTAGTAATCGAATGTAACTTTTTTCAATTACCAGCTTCCGATTATTTTCTGTTTTTTTTTCCCATCTGAAGCCTAGCTCTTTCATAATTCGTCGTAAACTTCATACCGAGCCATTAAAATTTATATCTTCATTAAATTTTTCGAAGCCTTTCTACGGTACGGAGTTTCGCTGCTTGTTATGTAGTTATTATGATTACATCTTTTTATTACAGATTGAACGAAACTATCCATTCCGGTAACTTTCTTCTTCCCTGATCTTTTCTTACCCGGAGTCCGAAACACGGCGAGCAAGCCAGAGCCTTTAGCTTCGTTAATAATGCACCTAACAGTANCGCTGCTTGTTATGTAGTTATTATGATTACATCTTTTTATTACAGATTGAACGAAACTATCCATTCCGGTAACTTTCTTCTTCCCTGATCTTTTCTTACCCGGAGTCCGAAACACGGCGAGCAAGCCAGAGCCTTTAGCTTCGTTAATAATGCACCTAACAGTACTCACGGATGTTTTTGTTGCTTCCGAAGTCTGTTTTACTTTTCCATATCATTCTTCCCCTGTTTTATAATGAAACAATATACGTCGTACACAATTTTTCTACCCTTTCTTTTGAATACTATATCAGTTTGTCGCGGCATAGTGTATTTTTTATAAAAAATCAACAAACACTCAACAAATAGCAATGGCAACAAAGTCAACAAGCAATTATAACAAATAACTTAACAATTAATAACGATAGACTTTTCACTGTACGCAAGCGTACTTTTGGGAGCATGCGGAACGAGGGCGCGGTGCGGGACGCAAGGTTCGACTGATCTACCAATAACGCGCTCGATACGATTTCCCCTGCCGTCGCGCCTCACCCTCACCACCAAAGTGATCTAAAATTCGGTTCTGCGCAGTCAAGGTCATTTGCTCAAGAAGTTTGCCGGTTACTGTATAAAGAATAATTTTACTTAATTTTTGTTTTATTTAAGACACTTCAATTCTAATGGCTCGTAAAAAAAGAGAATCAAAAAACACCGAATTAGAATAAATAATGTCTTTCACACGCATCCGATCTTACCTAAATAGTTTTTGTAATCACAGAATTTTATTTTGACGTGATAGCTTTTTATAAATCGATGAAGACTGGCTGCACGCACGAAAAAGTGTCACGTTCCGCCAGAGTCTGAGCGTGCGAACGAGAGCGCTAAACAAGCGATAGAGGCACGATCGGCTCAAGCGTTGGCTTGTGACACATTTATCTCTGTCCTTGCGTGACGTCAGACTTAGCAGTTCAAGTAGTTCTGCTACTGACATTATCACATAAGACTATCGTCCGTTAACCGACTTTACAGATAACCAATTGATTTTAAACGTGATACAGGGTGTGGAGAGAATACAATTAGTAATAAGTTATTAGTAAGTCAAGTAATAAGATTTAATATGATAAGTTTGCATACACCACTTTATCATCGCCACACACACAGTTGCGTTTTTATTACACACACGCGAATGCGCAGTGCAACGCAAACCTGACTCGAGGTCATTGACCCGTCATGGTTTTTTTTAAATTACATTGCGTGCCATACGGAACACATTAATAAAGGCTTCTTCATATGTCATCGTTTTCAAGAGAGATTTCGAATTATCAGTATGTTATCTCAAGTATACTTCGACCTCCACTCATTCGAGGTTACATTAATCAACACTTGGAGGTAGCCTCGAAATATTCGCTTTTCTTTTACGATATACGATACGATTTTCTAAAATTACGAACATATTAAAAAAAATTATTACCGCCAGAATAATCTGCATTGTTCATAAAAGAAAGTAAAAGATTTAAATAACATTTACGGAGTACATAATAGTTCTATTCTTCCAACTGAAAGGGCAAAGGTATCATACCATACAGCCTAATCTTTAATAAAAAAAAATTAAGAAGAAATATGACAACAGAAGTGAAACGAAGTTGATTAATTTGAAACATTAATCAATTGGTATGAAATGAAATGAGATGATATGGGATGAAATATCGCAGCGCGCGACAATCTCACTGCCGCTAGGGGCGCTGTTCCAACTGCACACAAATTTACAAACTATATACAGTTTTTATTTAAGCACACCGATCGTTTGTATTACGACAGCTTCGTGAGCTTTGCAAACTTAAACGGATGCACCGCGTGTGATGTCACTCGAAGCCAACCATGCACAGATTATAAACGAATAGTCAGTGATTAGCCACGTATGACGTCATACGTTGTAGCTCGCTTCGGATTTAACAAATATAAAATTAAGTTAGATTTGCATTGCTATATCAAATGTATCGTTTTCATTTATCTCACGACAAAGGGAAGATCTTCCACCGAACGGGTGATATTGCTCGGTAGACCGACGCTTCAAATGTTGTTGTTTGTAACTTGTATATATGTACGCTTATCTTGAAAATGTCGTAAGCGAGATTCAGGCATCCGTCAAATATCTTGCGTTGTATGATGGCTACCCGCCACAGTATGTTTTTTTTATTGCTTAGATGGGTGGACGAGCTCACAGCCCACCTGGTGTTAAGTGGTTACTGGAGCTCATATACGTCTACAACGCAAATGCGCCGCCCATCCTGAGACATAAGTTCGAAGGTCTCAGTATAGTTACAACGGCTGCCCCGCCCTTCAAACCGAAACACACTACTGCTTCACGGCAAAAACAGGCAGGGCGGTGGTACCTACCCAATGTATGAATAACTTGTAATATTTTCTGTGAGCTATCAAAATGCCTTACTAATGAATCTTCCCTGTTTCAGTCAAAAACCTAAATACTAAGTTTTCGCCGAGCTTTGTCCACGTCGGCGGGCTGACACGCGTTAATTTGTTTTAATTATTAGTAATTATTTTCTCAGTTTCTCTTCGAGCCATTCCGAGGTCAGCTCGTCTATCTCCCGGACTTCGAGCAGTCTCGGGGCTCCGACGGTGGCCGCCAGCGCCCTCTGTGTGCCCGCGTACATAACCTGAAGGCAAATTAACGATACAAACATACAAGTCGTCGTAGCTTAAAGGATAAGACGTTGCACTCATATGATGCGACTGGACCGATGTTCGAATTCCGCAGACGGATAAACAGCTTTTCTATTTAAATATATATTTATTATCACTAAAACACAAATAACTTACTTGATCAATATAACACTAATAAAAATAATAATTAACGTACAAGTTACATATACAATTGAGATATAGAGACATCAAGTCTGACGCATAACCTGGTGTTAAGTTATTATGTATAGGCCAGTGTTTCCCAATGTGGGCCCCACGCCCTACAAGGGGGCAATTTGAAAATTAAGGGAGGCAATCGCAGTAAATTAATAAAGAAAATCTACATGGCACAGGCACATGGCACATGCTGGGACATGGCACAAAAAAGGCTGGGAAACACTGGTATAGGCGGCCACTCATCTTAAGATATCAGTTCTGAACTCCAGTTCTATAGTTACAACGGCTGCCCCACCCTTCAAACCGAAACCCATTACTGTTTCACGGCAGAAATAGGCAGGGCGGTGGTACCTACCCGAGCTTAGCTCAAGAAACAACCGTCCCTTCAGTACTCATCTGCTGCAGACTCTCCATTCTCCAACACATAACTTACTTGCAGCTCCATATGTGCGTCTCTGGGTGTGTAGAATATAAAACACATCGGAAATGATGTCCGACCGTCACTGTGCTCCATTTTGTAGCTGGAAGAACGAGAACGTGACCGTTATTGTCAATGTAAATTTTCATCTTTTTGGTTTGCCTGTCGATCTCTTAGTAACCTTGTGAGGATATACTAGATTCACTTTTTTTCTCTCCTACCTATGCTGGTAGCCTTGAGAAGCTATGTCGGCGTTACCCTAGCGTGTAGATGAGCTATCGGGGCACAAACCAGAGGTGTTACTAACCCTGGCCCTAGCAAGAGCAGTGCTTCGCAGAATCTATCACCGGATCGAAAACGCGACCCACTGAGAACATCCGAAGAGAAACTCAGTAGGCTGTGTCTATGGGTTAATTTACTCGCCGAGCCCTCTGTCGCAAGCGGCGGGTTCGGCGAGGACGATGACCAGTGCTTAAGGTACCTAAAAGCACCGTTAGTGGATCGGGAGGATCCGTAATGACGTGTAGCTTCACTGAACGTGAGATATGCCCTAGCAAGCTGGTTGTTCGCTGGTTGTTGGTTGGTTCGCTGATCTACCATCCGAATCGTGTTACTCATCTTCTATGAGTAACACACAGCGCAAAGGGTTCAGCAATCCGTTACATATTTGATTCATCTGTCAACTGGTTCGCCCACTAGTCTTGTCAGAAATAGGATGTGGTTGATGGCCCCAAGCTTTTTTATTGCTTAGGTGGGTAGACAAGCTCACGGCCAATCTGGTGATAAATGGTTACCGGAACCCGTAGACATCTTCAAAGTAAATGCGGCCATCCATCTCGAGACATGAGTTGTAAGGTCTCCGTTTTTAACAGTACAACGGCTGCCCCACCCTACATACCGAAATGCAATGCTGCTTGAAATGGGCAGGGTGGTGATACCTGCGTGGTGCGGATTCAAAAAGTCCTACCACCAGTAAGACGTGTGTTTGACGGATTTCGTTTTTAACCCGTTTTTATTAGCTATGTTTGATTGTATGAAAGATATTTTATAAAGTAATATTATATATACAGATTTGTAGGTCAAAATGGACCTTATAACTTTCTTAATAGAAATTGTCCGACTAATATAGACCTTAAGAGAAACGAAACACAATTTTAGACGTAAGCAGAGAGTTAAGAGGAGAAGGCTACTCGTAAATGAAAAGTTTTATTGAATGGTTAGAGATTGAAAAAAGGTTGGGAAGCACTGGCCTAAAGAAATATATATGTTTATGTACTTTAATATTAAGAGTATCCATTTTCCATTCATATTACCTGTAAACTATGAATCTCGGCTGATGGGACGGCAGAATATCCTGTAGTTCTTCAAGCTCAACACTCTCCAGCTCCTCATCAACTTCTAGGACTTGTTTTTCTCTATTCACCTGGAAATGCATTATTATCTTCTTCATCATACTCTTCATTTATGTTGTTTAAATGAGAACACCCGATAGATTGCTTGGCAACCTGACATTATCATGAAAAGGATTCCTGATTAAATTTAACCAATGTTTTGGTATTTTTCGAATACTTGTATTTTTTTTTGTTTCCTCACTTATTTGTGGTGGCCTAAAGGGCTATCTATACCAGCTATGCACCAGCACAGATCATTATAAAAGAACAAAAAAATGCACTTTGTAATTGAAAACAAATGAAACATGTTGTAGGATTATCCTGGGTAAAAATGTTTCTGGTGTCACTCTCTGGTCATTAAATTACTAGTTGATTATTAAATTGTTAAATTTAAAAAAATTGTTAAATTACTAGTTCATAGATTAAGCAAAGACACTATGTAGTAGATATACATAACTATCTGTGTCATGACGTATACCACGACAGAAGTCAGAGCAGTAGCTCAGAACATGACCAACTGCAATCCTTTATTTTATTTTTATTAATGAGACCATCATTTGGGAATTCTTTCGAGAACATCAGGTAAACACTTTAATTAGTAACAAAAATTAGTATTTTATTATATATTAGCCTACATACTTTGAAACCTGGCATAATCGGATGAATAAATAAAAGATATGTTTGTTCATTGTAACAAAAAAATAAATGAAAGCTAAACAATAATTCCTTTTCTTAGTAGTTTCTATCGCACAAATACACTTGCTTGTTGATTATTATTTTTATTGTGCATTGTATTATGATGTGCAATAAATTATATTCTCTCTCTCTTTCCCTCTCTCTCTCTCTCTCTCTCTCTAGTTGTACCAAATATCGCAGTTTTAGTTATTTCATAAAAATATCTATGGGTGTGGCGTAAGTTTCCGCAGTACCTACACAATTGTTCAATGACGCAAAATGATTAGGTCTGGCGATACGCTTCATTGCGCAAATGATTCATGGTGTATGACCGGAAAAGGATTTTTTTTTATCGAAATTAACCAGCTACTAAGCACATAAATAAATAAAAAACTACTTTAGATTATAAATGAAGAAATCATATCTTTATTAAGAGAACTATGGGAAGATAAATTAGTTAAATTACCTTTAAAATAAGAGCAGAATTGGAAGTGTGTTTCTGGAAACGAAACTTTTTCAGGACTTCCTTTACATCATCACCAATATCACAGACGTTTACGTTTTGTGCTGACATTATCGGAATATTTAATGGTATCAATAATGAATAGTAATCACAGAAAATATACAACGTCCGTCGCTTGTTTACGTCTCTACTCTACGTACGGTCGCGTATTGTCAAATGTCAATTTTCATTGTTTTTTTTTTGTTTTTGCTTCGTCCAATTGGACTGGCAAAGGGAATGACCACGTTGTAGTTACCTTTTAAAATTTGAAATTAAACGTAATCTTACGTTTTAAAAGACGAAACAGTCTTGTAGACAAACTTTAAAATGAAATGAAATAGTGGTAGTTTTCCTATTACAGCACAAGAGCGCATTATGCGGCATAATGCTCAACGTTGAATGTTCCAACACATTTCGCACAATCGAGCACTCTCAAAAGTACAGCTCTCGCGTGATACTCGCAATCGATACCGACTCAGTAACAGAAAATTGACTAGTGTTTTTTCTTTAAGTTGGCATTGATCGAAATTTTGTTTATATTATCGTTAGTAATATTATTTTATGTTGAAAAAAATTGTAAGGCTTTCGTTTAGTCGTAGTTTCTTAGAAATAATCAATGTTAATTAAAACTGTGCTAACTTAGCGCACTCTGCTGATGCATTTGAAAACTAATTCACGTTCCAATTAAGCTTCAGCAAAATTCGGCATTGTGCGTCACTGAGTCGCATTATGCTCTGTAATTGGAAAACTACCAGTAAAGTCAGAATATAATAAAATTTTAAGAGTAATCCGAAATGTCACTAGGGCATTTCAGAACATTTCCTAACAAAATGTGTTTTAATTTAATTTTAAAACACAGCTGATTTTATGTGAAATGTCAAGAGTCCAAGATCTGTCAGAAGTCACAAATAATTGACATTTATTTGTAAATTACAAAATCATAATTTCTATTGTACAACTTTACAAAGAATACAATTTTTTAATTAACAAAACATAACTCATTTAATATAACATAAAATCGGAATTGCGAACTGAAGTCACAACCGAAATTTCATCTAAAATACTTTTTACGCGGTCCAAATTATTTTATTTTAAGTTAAAAGCGTTAAATAAGGTGTAGATACAAGTTTGAATTTTATCATTGTAAAACTGCAGTACTTTGCGCGTTTAGGTGTCCTATATTGGGGTCAAGAACTTATCCGAGTGCTTAAACAATTCTNACATAAAATTGGAATTGCGAACTGAAGTCACAACCGAAATTTCATCTAAAATACTTTTTACGCGGTCCAAATTATTTTATTTTAAGTTAAAAGCGTTAAATAAGGTGTAGATACAAGTTTGAATTTTATCATTGTAAAACTGCAGTACTTTGCGCGTTTAGGTGTCCTATATTGGGGTCAAGAACTTATCCGAGTGCTTAAACAATTCTGTAAGTATTAGATTTTCGAATGAAGTCAATTATTTATGTTTTAAATTTGATTTTAAAAGTGTACATTATATTAGCCATAATGCTACTTTCATTCTCGCTTCTGCGTTTCGAGGTCGTGTTATATTCATATTTACGACTTTAAGCGAGTTTAAAATATTTTGTAACAACCACAGACACAGTAAGACTTATTTAAAAGTTAAAATAAAACAAAACTTTTTTTTTGTCATTACTCACTAAAACATGACACACATATCATTAATAAAGCTTAATTCCAAGTAGCTTTCTAATAAAGTCTACTTTTTAACAAAGAAAAAATTTACTAATCAAAAATTACTGAAATAATATGCTTTGAATCTTAATGATGTGTAATCAATGTATTTCTAATTTAAATCCCTTATATTTGGATCATTTATTGACTATCAATTTCCAGCCACCTACCTATTACTTAACATCAGGTGGGCCGTGAGCTCGTCGACCCACTTAAGCAAAAAAAATCCTATTGTAGCTATTAACAATTATACTACAAGCTTATACATTATGTAAATAAAAATATCGTCGGCTTATTGCAAGAACTCATTAACTGCAAAAAGTCACTAAATGCGTTTTTATCTATTATGGGCTCATTTTTGCATATTCTACAAAATGCAAAAACACTAATTTCTAGCTGGCCAATTTTAGCCGTTACGTCTTTGGTAGAAAATTGATAATTGCAACTTTGGAAGTCAGACATTTACAAAGATTCACTAAGCAGCACTAGTTATTTTTATTAAATGGATAATTATTTGAAAACAGCATACATTACATTAAAAAACTCATTTTCAGCATCTAATTAATTTTATCAAAACAATGTAGTATAATATAGCTTAAAATTGTATTTCGATAAAATTCATTATTTACGTTTAGTTAGTTTCTGTAATGAATCATTTCATTAGAAATGCACAATAAGTAATCTTAATGATTTTTATCGATATTAATATAATATAAATCATATTATATTATTTTTTCCATTTTGTTGATGGCATGATTTTAATAAGTTAACATCGATTAAAAGAACATAGTAACTTCTTGCAGGTTACGTGGTTCCTCGGTTGTAGTTTAGTGAGTTATATAGGATTTCGTGAAATGCGACAAAACAGCTTGTCTAGAGAATAAGACGAACGCGGGTAAGGGTGGATTTGCGCGGGACGAAATAGTACTACTGCCTCGCTCGCTCAGTTTGCGGCGAGATACGTTGATTACCACGCCTGTTATAGAAGTTAATGATTTCTGACAAAATGCAACGAAATAAATGTTTCAAATAAGGACGAGGAAGCAAGATGATGGAGCAATTGAAGTTCCGAACAACCTTCGCACAACCTAGCAAGCAAACACCTGACTAACAATAGCATCATTCTTTCCACGAGTGTAGAAAACGTTAAATGATACACTGGAGAACGGGCAACATCGTTATCTGAGAATCATACCAGTGGACTACGATTGCCAACTTGTATTTACTGATAGGATGGTTGGTATGGCGTATGGCAAGCTCGTACGAGTTTGTACCACCATCGAAGCGAAGCAGCATACGGAACAATTTAGATTTCGGGTCTCAATATGGGTGGTGGCATTCGCGTTGAGATCTCTATGAGCTGCAGTAATCACTGTAACACCAGACAGGCTCTTTTATATTTTTTTAGGATTGAAGGATTACTGGTGGCCTGGAGGTCTTTCCAGATTCACCAGGACATGTGGGCTATCAAAGGCTCAGCCAAGAGGGGTGGGATTTGCTAACAGCTGTCCGTGCGCCTCCGAAAAAGACCTAACAACTCAAGAACAGCCGCTTCGCGAATGAATCTACTACCGGATCGAAATCGCAACCCGCTGAGAAGACCCGGCGAGAAACTCAGCGAGCTGATGCAAAAACGTTTCTGTTATGCTTAATGCTATACTTAGTTCAAGTTACCTACCTTGAGGTGTTTGAACATAAGTATTTAGAATTGGGCCATACACATAATATGGAGGTCGATAATATGCATAGTTCTATCGAGAATCAAATGCGTCTTATGCCAATTTTTTCTATGATTCTTCTTCTTCCTATTCGTACACTCTTGACAGAGTGGTCGTGGTCATGCATCAGTCGGATCCTGCGATACCGATGCTCTCGCGATGCGACGCCAAGTGGCACGGTGTTTCGCAGAGTGAGAGCAAACATTTATGTTGGAGTGAGTAACAAATTTTATGAGGTCGGTCCATCGTGTTGGAGATCGTCCGCGAGATCTTTTGCCCTCGACTTTCCCTTGCACCACCAACCGCTCAATGGAGTCCTCATTACGAGTGATGTGCCCGAAGAACTTGAGGATTCGTAATTGGACTGTTGACGATAGTCTCTCCTTGATGTTGAGCTCTTTCAGGATCGAAATGTTGGTACGGAGCGCGGTCCACGGAATTCTGAGGAGACTTGACTTTTCTATGATAGACCTCGGTAATGTTTTAAGATTGACTAGAACGAACAGAAAGCTAAACAAGAAAAAAGCAGCAAAGAAGCCATATGAACCTATGAGCCGCTCTGATATCTTGAACCTAAAAGAGTTGAGAAACAAATTAATGTATAATAAGTCAATTGACACTGTAGGAGAGAATCTACAGTGTTTGAAAGTTAAATGCTCCAAGCTTGGAAAAACCGGCCTAACATTGTTCAATATAGGTATGACTACGTTTCCAATTTTAAAGACCTAGCCTGCAGAGCTACACCATTGGTATAATAATATACCTGATAAAGAAGGTCCAAATTATCTTCCTGAAGAAGAAACCTCTGATACAGTTTTTTTTAACCTAGATCTTTTTTCATTTGTTTTATGTTTTTGTATGGTGTTTAAGCTCAGTTCCTAATTTTCATTAAAAAATACATGATTGAATGAATACATGAGTGATTGACTAACAGGGAGAAGAAATTTATTTTTAGTTTATTATTGAAGTCGTCCTGGCCTAAAAGATAAGACGTCCGGTGCATTCGTATCTAGCGATGCACCGGTGTTCGAATCCCGCAGGCGGGTACCAATTTTTCTGATGAAATACGTACTTAACAAAATATGTTCACGATCTACTTTCACGGTGAAGGAATAACATCGTGTAATAAAAATCTAACTCGCATAATTATAATTTGCGTAATTACTGGTGTTAGGACCTCTTGTGAGTCCGTACGGGTGGGTACCACAACCCCGCCTATGTCTGCCGTGAAACAGTAATGCGTTTCGGTTTCAAGGGTGGGGCAGCCGTTGTGACCATACTGATACCTTAGAACTTATATCTCAAGGTGGGTGGCGCATTTACGCTGTAGATGTCTATGGGCTCCAGTAACCACTTAACACCAGGTGGGCTGTGAACTCGTACACCCATCTGAGCAATAAAATAAAAATAATATTACGTAAAACTTTTGAGACTGCGAAGTTGTCGGAGTACTTGGCAATATTATTATTAGCTATTGCAAGTTCTTGCGTCAACTGTTTAGTCTAGTCAACAAGTTCAAAAACGTGTTAAATAGACATAAAGCTCCTAAAAATATGTACGATAGCTCATTGGATGCGGAATGATGTCTACAAAAATGTTTTTTAAGGGCTTATTAGCACATAAAAAATTGCGATTGTTATAAACAAAATAAGATTNATAATAGAGATAGAATTCCGGGAGTTGGGACTTTTTTATTGGAAATTTCCTCCTCTTTCAGGATCTTTTTTCAAAATTCCTTAAATATCAT